TGCCTCTGGGTTGATGTGTGAGGAAATAATGCTTTATATAAAAAAAACTGACTTGAAGCATGTCATCATGAATCATTATAAAAGAACTATAAAAAATCCTCTCCTGTTTAAAAAAAAAAGTAAACTCCTCTGCTGAAGTCAGAGTTTGCTGCAGTGACTTTTATCTGAGTCCATCTTAATCAGCATGAATTAAATAATGTGTAAAAAAACAACAGCAATTTATCGGGCTGAAAAGATGCAGGTTCGGATTTAAGGTTGAGTTACTTTAATGATCCACATTCATGCATTTCCATCGTTATTTTACTAAGGGACAGCAGATTAATTGTACATTGGTTTGACATAACATTAAAATGAATGGATGCATTGTCTTGCACACAAGGGAAAATGAATTAAATCTAATAATCATCGCAGTGATATGAAGTCAATCATAACTTACTCTTGTCCAGGGTTGGGACACAAAGGATTAATCCAATTATCCAAAATCAGAGGCAGAGGAAAATCCTAAACACAAGCTGGGTCAAGAACTACTTGGAGACATAGTTAGGATCAACGAACCAGGAACCAAAACAAACGGGCAACAGGTGGATGATATCAGGGTGTGGTTGAGGTTGAGTAAAAGAGGGATTATCAAGTTGCTTGAAACGAGACAACACAGTAGTGCAGGAAAAGTTCCAATGCGAGCACAAAAAAAGCAGACACACACCAGAAGAAACGCTTAGTCAGCAGAGCTGCACATGACATGCTACACACATCAAAAGCCTGATAACTGAGTCCATAACTTTCCCCTGCTTACAAGGCCCGTAAAACAAAATCCAATCCTAATAAAAAATGTCATTTTAATGGCTGGGTCAATGTCACACAACCAGAAAACACTAAATAAATATGAGCCCCCACCGTTAACTGCTGGAAACAACACGCAGTCAATAAACTGGACGTGTGCTCGCCGGTTTGGATTGATGTATCTGTAATTTAACAGAACACGATTAAACAAAACACATTTTAGTCTCAGCTTTCAGGATCGAGTTTTATTTGATTTCCTCAGTGCTAATATTATTTATATAAATCCATCTGAGTTGTTACGTGTGAGCTAAAAGTCTGTTTCTGACCATTTATCTCCTGTACCCCTCGGACCTCCAGGCTTAGGGTTAGGGTTAGGGTTTAGGGTTAGGTTTAGGTCATCTAAGGACTATAATGACTCTGCTCAACTGGACCACAGCAGCCGTTGGGAATTGTACTGGAAGAATACCAGTTTGCGTTTAGAAAATTAAACGTTTCTTTAGTGACGATGTCTATGAATGTTTTCTCTGAGTGTTTTTTGTGGAGAGTGCAGTCTACTTATTGGACATAAACTTGGCTTTGATTAAAGATAAAGCCAAGGAATGGCTGAACAGAAGTGTCTCTGTGCTTTGGACAGGCCCAGAACTCCTGGGAAGCAGAACCCTCCACAGAATGGACACAGATACACACAAAGGAAAGGGAATTTTGTGGATCAATGAACGGGAAGTCGTCACCACACCATTTCTGTTTCAATGGGAAAATGAGCAGTAAAGTAAACCCGAGATTTCCTTTCACCTGCTTTCCTGGAACAGGTTGCTGGGATGGATGTGTTATGGCCGGTCCAAACTCAAACGGCTCTAAGTGTTAAATAAATCAGATAAGACAGTAAAATATGGTTGGCAGCTCTTCCATGAAACGTGTGCCACTCTGCTCTGGAGCAGTTCCAGGAATTCTCAGGAGTGTATGGTTGACTTTATGGGACGGTGTTTACTTAGGTCTACACAGCCCCAGCGAGTTCAAAAAATGCAAAAGAGAAAAATCTAAGGCCATTCATCAATCTAAAGCAGAACATATGTGAAAACATGCACACTTGTGGAGAAAGTCAAAAGGAGCCTTTCAGATCGATTGACATGCTGACCTCTCACACACAGAAGCACTATGTCCTGGCTCCAGTCATGTGAGTGCACCACACACACACACACACACAGACACACCCACGCTCATGTGAGCGGGGGGGAACCGAGGAAATACGGAACATTTCCTCATCAGAAAACAGCATCGCTGATAAGGACAAACAAAGCTCAGATAAAGAGAGAACACATCAATAGTTAGGGATTATGTTATGATGGAGGAATGGAGGCCAGAGGGGAGTGAGGAAGCCCATGTTTGACCCCTGGTTTGGATGAGGGAGAATCTTTGATTAATGGGTTTTCACACGGACCTGAGAGCACTCAGCGGCTCTCTGCGACATTCCACCCGACCTGCCCGGTTCCCCTCCAGGCCCGAGCCCCCAGATGTCCCCTCCGCCCACGCAGCGGGTCAGTGCAGACGGTCAACACGGCGCTAAGCAAACGGCCCACAGAACACGATGTGGGTTGGAATAAAGCTAAAACTACTGCTTAGCCATTTTACTTATCTGGGGCTGAGTGTTTCGCTCTGGGACATGTCAGGCCGGTTTGACGAGACAAATGGATTATGAAAAACAAAAAAGAATTGCTGATTTTCAAGTCTTTTTTTTGTCCTCGATAAAAAATCAGTAGAAATAGAACTTTTTCTGTTTTATTATCTCAACAACATGGCAATCCTGAAAGCTTTTGGCCACAAAAATACCACTTTGAACTGTAAATAATGTGACGGTACCTAAATAAAAGAATTGGTTTGTTTAAAATAATGAAGAGAATTGCATCGTTCAAACTTAACAGTG